AGGATTTGTGGTCAGATGTACAGTGCGCCAGCTTTTCTTTGCTCGTAATTATTTGGCGCTTCCTCCCAACATGCCGCGTTTATCTCGTCTTGTTCTTGTTTGCCAAGATCACAAAAGACAGTAGCTGACAAATATCGCTAGTGCTGGCCAGGCCAGAGGTCTCCGCCATCGTTTAACATTCAATTTATGTTTTCTGGTGTAGATTTAAAGTTGAGCTCCAGACAAAGAGCTAAATACACTGAAGAAATACATGTATGGGAGCGTTTTATCCTTCCAAAGGATGTGTATTAGTGTCCATCCAGTCCTGAGATTTATACTGCCTGGCACAATGTGCAATTCTGTCTCGCAGAGCAGACCAGATTTTCAGAGATTTCCTCCCCACCTCCATATGTAAATAAAAAAAAAAAACCCTCATTTGCGTTATTTTAAGCAGTATTAAAACCAAAAATCTAATGTATTGCAGCTTACCAACCATTAGATGTGCTGGCAGCATTAGTTTTCTGTTTTTAGGTTTTTCCCCTTGTAACGGTAAATGCTAGGTGCAATAACTAAAAGAAAGTCATATACACACAATCGACAGGTAATCACACAGGTACTTTTATTCAGCATTTACACCATTACATGTTCTACGCATATGAAAGACCCTCTACCAAATGAATTCCCGCCCTGGCACATCATAGCATTCACTCGGTACTCCAAGTAATAACAGAATCCAACTGCAATATTTTTGCACTGTCAAAACCTCCACTTTTATTATCAAACGACAAACAGGAGGATATATCTTATAGTCATCACAATCTGCATAATATCACACACCAATAATAATGTGAGCATTACAGCATGAAATAGACACATCATTTGACAGCATCACAGCATAGAATTAATACATTACCAAAGCTATGGGAAGTCGGGAAGGAACAAATCCCATCGGAACCATACTGCTCAGGGGGTCACGTGAAAGTGCAACCAATTGATGAGCTCATATAGCCTTCGCAAGAGTCCCAGTGTCAGAGCGTTCTCTGGCAACTAGGGGGCTTCTCCAATCAATCCCGCTTGGACTCCTGGATTTAAACCATTTTTCTGGCAGCTTTCCAATAGTGGGCGGGCGCCACACCCACCATAGGAGGAGCTAGCAGAAAGGTTCCATGAGGATAACAGAGTCACGCTCAGCTACCATATTGATTCCACATTGCTATCTGAAAAGTCACACTTTTGCTTCAGATCAGCTTCTTATCTACCCTAAACTTAAAGATTTCTAACTTCTCAAGCAAGTAGACATTCTTAAACAGGTTCTTATCTTCTAATGTGACATTATTAGATGTCATAAACCCCGTTCAGTTCCATAAACAAGTTTTTATCTTGCTCTCAAAGCAGAATATCTTGTGACTCTGATGGTGACTCCTGTTCCTTTTAGCCTAGAGAAATGACATCAGTCACTTTTCATGTTTCTGGCATTTGGGCAACAATGCCTTATTGTAAAAATTACCCAAGAAACCAAGGGTCCAAGGCCAACACATTTCATAGACATTACAGCTGGTGATCTGGCCAGTAAACACTCCTTCTGTATTAGAGTGCACCCGCTGTGGATGAAGGAGCCAGCATTCTCATCACCCCATATGCCATACCAGCATTCTGCTCACCGCAATACCAGCGCCATGATCCCCGCAATACCACCGCCATACCCCATACCAGCACCCTAATCACTGCCATACCAGCGCCCTGATCACCGCCATACCCCATACCAGCGTCCTGATCACTGCCATATGTAATACCAGCATTCGGCATTTTAAGATCTCAACTGATACCAGCGCCCTGATCAATTTTCCGATACATCTAAGAGTCCTGCACAGCAGATAAAATAAAGGTCTGTGGGTTGCTGCTAGCATTAAACACAAAAGATGTGTAACAATTAGACAATTAGGATGCTGCCCTACCACTCCTAAACCATGAGACTCTGGTTGTGATGTGAGAACTAAATAGCAAAGTGATATGTAGTGCTACAATGCACCTACCTCTACAATATGTGATCAAAAAAATCTTCACTCTAAAGGGATCATATGTCAGTGGTGCATGCCTAACTCCAAAATGAAATGTGTTAGTGTAAACCATATGACTCAGTGCTATAATGCACCTCCCTCTCAAGGGGAGCTTAAACAACCCTTTGTATATTATATGTATTTTAATTTTCTTCACAATGGGTTGTTTAAGCTACTTTTCAGAGGGAGGTGCATTATAGCACAATGTCATATGATTTACATTAACACATTTCATTTTAGAGTTAGGCATGAACCACTGACATATGTCCCCTGTAGAGTGAGGGGAGGGGGGAGGACAACTTCTGCTTCCAATCGCCTAGACGATCGCAGCAGCGGAAGTGGGAACCTGTCAATTTCAGGTATCCGCTCCCCCCCCCCCCCAAAGATGCTAATCCTTAACAGGGAGCGGGGGACCAGTCCTTAAAGCAGAACTTCCCCTTTTGGGTGGAGCCTCACTTTAAATTCAGTAAGTGAAAGAAATCTTTCTAAAGGGAGGTAAGCCTCCTCTTAGGGCTCTTTCATAGGAGCGCTTTACCGCAAATTGCAGCAACAGCCGTGTTAGAACCTAGCTTGCTGCCCTTAAATGCGCCCTCTGGAGTCCATTAATAAAACAAAACCTGACAGAGGTTCTAACTTTTTTTTTTATCCAAAATACAAAAAAAAGCTCTGGATTTAGATACATTTTAGGTGACCATGAAGTGGACATTCCAACATATCTGAAGTATTTCTTGAATAGTATTTGTAGTTTACTGATTGGTTTCCCTCACTTCCTTCTGTTGCTCCTTGATGAGCTCTCACACACGTCAGTCGCGGGATGACATCTTGTATTTAGCACCATCTGTTGCGCATAGATGACCGCGTCTTGCCAGACTTAAACTCCGACACCTCTGTATCCATTTGCATATTTGACTCTGATGGAATTGATCAGACATGCAAATAGTGTCTCCAGGAATGTCTTATCTCTGGCCAAAGCTATAGATTGATGAAGTGTTGGGATTACATCTCCTCTTCCCCTCTGACACTCTGCCTGCTTGCTGGAATTTACATATGTGCGGCATCTTCACACTTTATGGATGGTGTTTAAACCTCTTAATTCTGCTGTCCTCGCCTCCTGCCCGCTCATTTATCACCGGGGTCTGGCAGCAGACTTCCATCAGGAATATATCAGGCAGGGTTTTACTAAGCTGGGCTTTTAAAGAGCAACTCTAGACAACAAGTAAAATAATTCACACAGGCCGTGGTGGGGTGTGGGGATGTCTTTGGGGGGTGCGGTAAAGGACAGGTGTTGAACCTCTGGCCATCCACCTAAATGATAACATTACCACCTGATACACATGCCATGACCATGCTTAAAGCAAATTTCCACCCATTTTTTTCCTCTATTAGCAATGCACTTTTGTTGTACTGTTGGATCTGTGTGTATATATATATATATATATATATACCCCAGCTAAAAATTTGTATTAATGTGCATAAAGAAGCCAAGGAAAGATGGAAAAATCTCCAAAAGGCATCAAATTACAGATTAGACATTCTTATAATATGTCAACAAAAGTTAGATTTTATTTCCATCATTTACACTTTCAAAATAACAGAAAACAAAAAATTGGCGTCTGCAAAAGTTTGAGCACCCTGCAGAATTTATAGCATGCACTGCCCCCTTTGCAAAGCTGAGACCTGCCAGTGTCATGGATTGTTCTCAATCATCGTCTGGGAAGACCAGGTGATGTCAATCTCAAAGGTTTTAAATGCCCAGACTCATCTGACCTTGCCCCAACAATCAGCACCATGGGTTCTTCTAAGCAGTTGTCTAGAAAACTGAAACTGAAAATAGTTGACGCTCACAAAGCTGGAGAAGGCTATAAGAAGATAGCAAAGCGTTTTCAGATGTTAATATCCTCTGTTCGGAATGTAATTAAGAAATGGCAGTCATCAGGAACAGTGGAAGTTAAAGCAAGATCCTTGCGAATCCTAGTTAGGAATGAAGTGCGCCGTGCAATGTCATTACTGCGCAGGTGCGAGATCAGAAGGTGCATGCTGGGATAGCCAACAGCATCTAATCCTGGAAATATAGACCTGCGGGCTTCAGATGCCCATATTCTTCATGGCGCCTGCCTGCTTCCTAGAGCGTGGTAAAATATTACTTTTTGTCAACTAAAGAGCAGGATATCACATCTTTATTCAATTATTAATGGGAAAGATGAAATAAGAACAGGAGAGCTTTTTAAAAAAATTGTTATGGGCACTGGAGCTCCACTTTTACCGTGTTACATGATTTTTTAAAGGACCTTAAAGCGGAGTTCCACTTACGCTGTCAAAAAATAAAAGTCAGCAGCTACAAAAACTGTAGCTGCTGACTTTTAAAAAAAAACAGCCACTTACCTGTCCCTCGGTCCCGTGGTGTGTCACCCGCAGCCCGTTTCACCGGCCGCCCTGTATTCCAGGAGGACGGCATCTTCAGTGTGGGCACGGCATCCACTGCGCATGCGCCAGTAGCGCTGCGCTTCATGAATGGTCCTGTAGTCTTCTGGGACCTGTCACATGTCCCAAAAGACTAAAGGGAGGGAGGGAGGACATCTTCTTCTTCTGATCGCCTAGGTCAGTGATGGCGAACCTTTTTGAGTCCGAGTGCCCAAACTGCAACCCAAAACCAACTTATTTCTTTCAAAGTGCCAACACTGCAATGAAACCTGAATATCGAGCTTTTGGTTTAGAAAAAACAACTCGTACAGTAGTGCAAACTAATTAACAGTACAGGGATGACCAGAGACTGCGGACAGTACAGGTAAAAAAAAAAAAAAAACCAGAACAAAAGAAAAGATGATGACCAGAGACTGCGGACACAGTACAGGGATGACCAGAGACTGCAGACACAGTACAGGGATGACCAGAGACTGGGGACACAGTACAGGGATGACCAGAGACTGCGGACAGTACAGGGATGACCAGAGACTGCGGACCGTACAGGAGATGACCAGAGACTGCGGACAGTACAGGAGATGACTAGAGACTGCGGACACAGTACAGGAGATGACCAGAGACTGCGGACAGTACAGGGATGACCAGAGACTGCGGACACAGTACAGGGATGACCAGAGACTGCGGACAGTACAGGGATGACCAGAGACTGCGGACACAGTACAGGAGATGACCAGAGACTGCGGACAGTACAGGAGATGACCAGAGACTGCGGACAGTACAGGGATGACCAGAGACTGCGGACACAGTACAGGGATGACCAGAGACTGCGGACACAGTACAGGGATGACCAGAGACTGCGGACACAGTACAGGGATGACCAGAGACTGCGGACAGTACAGGGTCGGAAAAAAAGAAAAAAACGAACAGAACCAACAAGAGATGACCAGAGACTGCGGACAGTACAGGGATGACCAGAGACTGCGGACAGTACAGGAGATGACCAGAGACTGCGGAAAGCACAGGGATGACCAGAGACTGCGGACAGTACAGGAGATGACTGCTGACCTTTGGGGAGGGAGGGGGAGCGGGTACCTGAATTTGACAGGTACCCGCTCTTACTTCCGCAGAGTTTTTTTTTTATCTTACCTGTTCCTTTATCCAGCCGCGCGCTGTCTTCCCGGCTTCTGTATTGTGGGCGCTCGTCGGACAGCCGGATGCCCAGTGCGCATGCGCGAGAAGCGCTGCGCTTTGTGATTGGTCTGGCGGCTTCTGGGATCTGTCATGTGTCCCAGGTACTGCCTTACCATTCACAAAGAGCACTGCTTCTTGCGCATGCGCACTTGGGACCCGGCTGTCATGCACACTACAGAAGCCCGGAAGACAGCGTGCCGCTGGATAGAGGGACAGGTACGGCACTGCAGAGCTGAGCGGCCGGCCCGGTATTCTGACACGGCGGTGGTGGAAATACCGGACCGGCCGCTCTATATTTGCTCCATAAGACGCACTGACATTTCCCCCCTTTTTTGGGGGAAAAAAAGTGCGTCTTATGGAGCGAAAAATACGGTATTCTCCTGGCGTGCCCACAGATAAGGCTCGGCGTGCCGGCTGTGGCACGCGTGCCACGGGTTCGCCATCACTGGCCTAGGTGATCGGACCGGAAGTGGGAGCGGGTACCTGTCAAATTCAGGTACCCGCTCCACCCACCCCCCCCCCACCCCTCAAAGGTGCCAATCCTTAAAGCGGAACTTCCCCTTTTGGGTGGAGCTCCTCTTTAAAAAAAAAAAAGTTACTTAAATACCGCACCGAAAACGCAGCACAGGTGCATTTTTTAATGTGTTTTTGCCCCGTTCTCCATTGATATCAATTGGGAAGTGTGTTTTTGTTGCATTTTCTTTTACCGCAACAAACCTGCACCAAAAATCCTGCAAGCAGGATTTAAACCCTCCTCCCCCGCCCACCATATAAGGAAATGACGGGGGGGGGGGGGGGCAGCTCTCTCGTTCTGGGAGGACGTCATATGACGTCCTCACACTCTAATTGGGGGTCGCGTAGCGCGGTGATCAGTGGTGGATCACTGATCACAGTAAAGAGTAATGACACAGGCTCTTTCATGTGATCAGCTGTGTGCCGTCACAGCTGATCGCATGTAAACAGGAAATGCTGGTTATCTGCAGTCCTCTGAGAGGAACCGGCACCCGCCTGAGAACCCCACAAAGCACCTAGCATGGGAATTCCTGAGGCATAAAGAGCAACCACACTGACCCAGCATGGAGACAGGTTTGCTCCAAATGTGCACTAGTAAGGCCGCGTGCTTCCCCTTGCTAGATGACCACAGTCTCAACAGTTGTACATCCCTTTTGACCTTTTTTCCTTTTATTATGGAAGCATTATATCATAGTTAGTCTGGCTGAAAAAAACAAAAGTCCATCCAGTTCAACTATAGAAAAAAAAAAAAGTTATAATCCTACACCCACAGTTGATCCAGAGGAAGGAAAAAAAAACCCCAGCAAAGCATGATCCAATTTGCTCCTGCTGGGAAAAGAAATTCCTTCCTGATCCCCCGAGAGGCAATTGGATATTCCCTGGATCAACTTTACCTATAAATGTTATATCCAGTTATATTCTGTGTATCTAGGAACAATGAAGGCTTTTTGGAAGCAATCCACTGAGCTGATCCTTGTTTCCGAATTAATCTACTACCCTATAAGTGTTTTTTTTTTTTCGATGGAAACTGAGCTTTACCAGAGACATCTGGTTAGCTCAACAGGATCCTTCAGTCTATAATCTGCTACCACACCCCAGACCTTATTAAGATGTTAAAGTACAATTCCATTTTTGTTGGCAAAAAAAATCCCCTCTGAGTGATCAATGTGCATTGCTAGGATTTTAACAAATTTTGTTGTAGATTCCTACCTGTTTCTATTTTGAAGGAAAAAAAAAAATTTTTTCCACTATGTTCTGGCACAATTCCTGAATGGGGTTGACTGGTTTACTATAAATGCACGGTGCTCTTTCAAGGTTCTAATGAGAGAAGTTGCAGGGTCTGCTTCCTCTTAGAAGTAGTTAACCTTTAGGGAGTATTGCACCAAACATGAAATTCCTATTGCAGAGGATGGCTTAAATTTGACTTGTATATTAGTGAAGACTTCTGGGAAAATCAGTGAACCAATCACACAAGCAGGAAATGACATTTCTAGGGGCTTTTGGTAATCCTACTGTCACCCCCCTTTCTGAGACTATTCTATCTACCCTGTGAAGAAATGATATCTATACATATGTTTTCTGACATGCTGATATCTATACATTACGGTCAAGTCAAATGATTGGGTTCCAGCGCCAGCTTCAGGGGAGCTATCAGTGGATGCCCCATACGAAGTCTATGGGTGACATCACCGCCCAGGCTTTGAAGCCTTGGTTGCTCTCTCTCCTCTACACTGAAGGTGGCACTGGGACCCAATCATGTGACTGGACCAGAGCGTCTTTAGAATATGTAAGTATAGACATCTTTTACAGGGTGGATAGAATAGGCTTAACCTCCTTAGCGGTATTCCCGAGTGTAGCTCGGGGTAAAATTTGAGTACCAAGGGCGGTAACACCAAGCTACACTCAGGCTTACCATGCGGCGTTGCTCAGGGAGTCCCTGCAGCACTTACCTTGTCCTTCGCTCCCATGATGTGTCCCCTGCAGCGTCCCCGGCCATCTCCTCCGGTCGATGCCTGCATCCGGCTTCCGTGTTCTGGTCCCTGTGACGTCGGGACGTACGGGCGACGGAACTGGCGGCAAATTTGAAATTTTTTAAAAATGTCATTTTTTAAAAAATGATTATTACATAGTAAAACATTGCTGTTTTCAAACCATTTCACATATATTTTGTCCCGAGTGCTTTGTCCGGCGCCCTGCCTGCATTTTAACTGTTCTTTCTGCCTGGAAACTTAGAAAAGTCCATGGCGTCCAAAAAGCGTCCCTTTACGTCAAAAGCGGTTTTAGACCAGCTAGAGAACAGTGATAGTAAATCAGAACCACTTGCAGAATTGAGTGATAATGATTCGTGGGGAAATTCGTCATCAGACACTGAAAACGATTTTGCAACTTTGCTCAGCGATGTGCGAATTTGCCTCTGTATTTCAAATTTCAGTGTTTTTGGTTTGATTATATTATTGAATTAAATTTATTATTATTATATTATTATTTTTTTTATGATTATTTATTAAATTATAATTTATGATTTCGTGTTTCAAGTTTTATCATACCCGGGATGTTTACTAGACTCTTGTTCGTACAGATTTCAGTGAGTTATTCCTAAAAATTACAGGCCTACAATAAAAAACTACATATTTCCATGCAAAAAAATGGTACTGCTTTCAGCACAAAAATTCGGAAATAATCAGACCGCCGAGGAGGTTAAATGGGGTGGGGGTAGATTAAGGTTTAGTTAGATTTTGACTGGATTTTCAGTTTAACCACTTGCCTACCGGGCACTTACACCCCCTTCTTTACCAGGCCAATTTTCAGCTTTCAGCGCTGTCGTATTTTGATTGACAATTGTGCAGTCATGCAAGATTATACCATATGAAATTTTTATCATTTTTTTCTCATAAATAGAGCTTTCTTTTGGTGGTAATTAATCGCCGCTGGGCACTTTACTTTTTGCGCTATAAACAAAAAGTGTGCAAAAAATTTGAAAAAAAAAGTTTCTTTGTTTCTATTATAAAATTTTTCAAACAGGTAATTTTTCTCCTTCACTTATGTGCGTTGATGAGGCAGCACTGATGGGCACTGATAGGCAGCACTGAAGGGCACGGATAGGCGGCACTAATGAGGTGGCACGGATAGGCGGCACTGATAGGCTGTACTAATGAGGTGTCACGGATAGGCGGCACTGATGATGGGCACTGATAGGTGGCACTGACTGGCATTACTGCTGGGCACTGACTGGCGGCACTGCTAGGCATTGACTGGCGCAACTGCTGGGCACTGACTGGCACAACCGCTGGACACTGACTGGTGGCAGCACTGCTGGGCTGCATTGATGGGCACTGGTGGGCACGGTGGGTGGCACTGGTGGGCACAGGTGGGTGGGTACAGGTAGGTGGCACTTCTAGGCACAGGTAGGTGGCACTGGTGGGCACTGCTGGGCACAGGTGGGTGCACTGCTGGGCACAGGTGGGCGGAGGTAGTGGGCGGCACTGCTGGGCACAGGTGGGCGGAACTGGTGGGTGGCGCTGCTGGGCACCAATCATCAGGACACTAATCATCAGTGCCCTGATGATCGGTGCCGATCCCTGCTCTGACAACTGCCGGTTCTCGGCAGTACTTTTTGCTCATGCTCTGACAGCGTGAGGAAAGTGCAGCCGAGAACCGGCAATTGCATTTCCCGGTGATCAGCGTGTCATTGGACACAGCTGATCACGTGGTAAAAGGCTGCTGTGATTGGCCTTTTACCACATCACGGTATCAGCTGCGTCCATAGGACACAGCGATCATGGAGATCGCCAGGTGCGCGCCCCCGGGGGCGCGCAGGAGAGTGCGTTCTGGGAGGACATCATATGATGCCCTCCCAGAACTAGCCGGCCGCAGTGTAGCCGTCATTCGGCTGTGTGCGGTTGGCAAGTAGTTAAGCTGCCTGATAATGGTGCCACAGACTGGGTTTAGAGCGGTATGTCAATGCATAAAGTGGCAAATAAAACAGAACACAATTCATATCAGATGTTTTTTATGTTCCAGTAGGAACATTTCATAGGACATCTGATTGGGGAAAGTGACAGACTCTGTTTTAAACATCCATTGTTAATGTGGCTTTCAAAACTCCACAAGGCCTCCCCATAATACTTTTTGCCAGATCGTGGAGAGTTCTCAAGATGCAGTATATTTGCTTGTTTGTGACAAATGTAACTCCAGAAGTACACATCCTTGGGGTTCCTCAAGTCAAGGACTGGGGCATTGTCATAGTGGAAAGAGGGATTAAAAACCACAGATCCCCATATTTTTGTGTTTTCAGCCATCCTTTTCTATCAATCATTACGTACCATTTAGTACAAGATGTGATAAAGTACAGGCTCTACCATACGTGTACCTGATGTCGTCACCATCAGGGA